TTAGGAGAGGCATTCATACAGACACCTTCTGCAAGACAGCAAGGCGCAGAGAACTACTTGGATACCAAGTTGCATTTTTGCAACTACAATGATATTTTCAACAATAAGAGGCGTGTCCATCAGTGCAGCCCCAGAATTTTTTACCCACGTGAGAAATTATATGAACACTCACAGGGACAGATGCACTCCTGTGCCACAGGCAGCTGTGCCCAAGATAGTATCACACCTTCATCCTGGTGCTCCCAGGGGCTGTGCCCTCAGCCCCATTCAGCTGCTGCTGTCACTACTAATCCTATACTGAGAATCTAGAGCACTCTCTCTTCACCTCAACCACACACTAGTGTTTATGGAGGAAATTTTATTTTTCAACTGTAGTCCACACAGTTACAAAGGCCCTATGATTCAGACTGAATCTTCCAAAGCAATACCACGTGAACATAAATGGAAAGGTGTTTCCTTGGGGGAGTCCATTCTAGAAGCTCATTCAGTGTCATTCCTCCAAGTCCATGCATGTATGGCAGACAATAGGACCCTCTTGAATCCTCATGTCAGGGATGAGGATGACATTCATAACACCAGTTTTCCAGGTTACAATGAGAAAGGTACCACACATCTTTGCTTCTGTTAGGAAGGTACTTGATTTTCACATAAACAACTCTAACCGTTTGTTACAACTGTTTGTGAAATTGGTTTTGCAAGGGGCTTTTTGGTTTCAAATGGCTTTATGATGTGTAACATGCATAATTGGTCCAGTGGCCTTGTTCCAGGCTCCCCAACGCTGTCAGCACTGGGAGGACAAAGAACATGTCTCTTTCTCCCATTGTCCTACCTCTCACCCCCACCCCGTTACCCCACTGCTCAGATCATGATTCAGGGCATATTGCAGATGGCTGTTAGTATAGTATTGTATTTCCTGCTTTTCCCAGTTCTCCCTCACTTATTGGGAATGCAAAGTAATATATGCCAGCAACTCATCTGCTCATCCCTGCCCAGATGAGCTACTCCACTTTTCCAGACCAGAACTGCACTGAGGCCTGCCCACAGGAGACCAAGGGCAGTCGCTGCTCCACCCAGGAGGTTTCCCCCATGACCCTCCATCTAACTCCTGTCCATCAGTCCCATCTGCCCTGTCTACCCTCCACCAATAGAGGGGAAGAGAAAAGGCACGGCTCTGTCTAGGATTTACAGAGCACAGCACAAAGCCACCCTGAATTGTGGGACTGCTGAAGCTAGAAAACACCTGCAAGGCATCTTCCCAACCTTCATTTTCAGGCAAATTAAATGAGGCCCAACTAGGTTAGAGGCTTGCGCAAGGTCACATGGCTCCTTAGTGGGGCTGAGTCAAGTAGAAATGAAGTCTCCCATGCAGTATCCTTTAATATCCCACCCTGACCCAATAGCCATCCTGCCTCTTTCCCCCCAGCCATGTTGTTCTTGGTCTGGTAAGTTCTTGTGCTGAAGGGTAGGTGGGAATGACAATGTCTGGAATTATCTACAGGAGCCTCATTTTTGCTTTTGTGATAGAGAGGATCTGAGGGACCCAACCAACACATTATCAGCTAGGGATGGTTTGGTTTGCCTACCAGTCTACAGAACTACTTCTGGGGAAGCCAAGGGGTGGGAAGGCCCCTTCCAATCTAGGCCATGGTCAGTCTCTGAGACAACTGGATTCACCCAACTATGATCCTGAGAAAGGCAGGCATCAGCAACTAAGGTGCAGACAAAGCCTGAAAATCAGATGGTAACACAGGCTCCGCCTTTCCATTAGACAATTCCACCACCTCGGGTAGGACTCATGAGCACAATGGACTGGGATCCAGAGGTGAGATTCCTCTGGTGAGATCTAGGCTGCCAGGCAGAGTGGAAGGCAATGAAGTTTGGTTGTTCACCCCTTCCAAATCTCATGGTGAAATGTGACCCCCCCAATGTTGGAGGTGGGGGCCTAGTGAGAAGTGTTTGGGTGATGGGGGCAGATCCTTCATGAATGGCTTGGCGCCATCCTCGAGGTAATGAATGCATTCTCTTTCTATTAGTTGCCACAAGATCTGGTTAGTAGAAAGAGGCTGGCACCTCCCTCCTCTCTCTCTCTCTCTCTCTCTCTCTTCCTTCTCTGTCATCATGTAATCTGCACACACCAGCTCCTTCCCCTTCCATCAAGAGTGAACACTTCCTGAAGCCTTCACCAGAAGCAGGTGTTGGCACCATGCTTTTTCGTACAGGCTGCAGAGCTGTAACCCAAATAAACCTCTTTTCTTTATAAATTATCCAGCCTCAGGAATGCCTTTATGGCAAAGCAAAATGGACTAAGATGGACACCAAGCAAGGACGTGCTGACAGAAAAAACAGGGGCAACATGAGTTAAGAACCAGGCAGGATAGCCAAGCAGACTGACCCCTCTGGAACCAGCCATCACCTTCCAGGCTGAGCAGCTGAGACTGTGAGTCAAATGCTGACCCCATCAACTTCAGCACGAACAGTCAACTTTGTGTTCAGGAAGTCAACCAGCTCTGCTTCCTACTAGCTGGATGAACTTGAGAAAGTTACTTAACTTTTCTGAGCATCAGTTTCCTCATCTATAAAACAGAGATACCTGCTTAATAGGATTGGTTAATGATTATGAAAATGTCTGGAAGCTGCTTGGTATAATATTTGGAAAATATAAGCAGTCAATCAACAGTAACTACACTTTTTGAGGCCCTGCAGGGACTTAGCTGTCTGGCAGACTTACTGGCTGCAAGGGGGATGGAGGTGTGACTGACACATCCCCAAGAATCCTCATCACCCCCTCACACAAGCAAGGAAGTAAAAAACAGACATTTCTCTGCAATAGGATGCTTTTTGAACATGAGTTTCTCAGTTTGAAATCCAGACATGTAGAATTTTTTTTCCTCTTACTTCTCTCTCACACCCAACATACATAGCCTTGAAGTATTGGAGGAGCTGTGACAGCAATCATCCAATAGCTCAACGTGTGACTGTGTGGGTCACTGTATATCATGCTACCATCAACATAACACTCACAATTCCTGGCAGAAAGACAGCCCCAGGGAGCCCCAGGCTCATTAATATGACCAAGCAGACGGAGGAATAGAAACAGCTCCATGTAAATCACTCTCAGTTTGTAATCCCTGAAGAGTTAGAGCATGAAGCTGTACTCCAGGAATGGGCATTTCAGAGGGACTCGTGTAACTGGAGAAAAAGGTATTCATAAAGGAAAGAGATTTGTATTTGAGAGCTGGATTTTCAGAGGGAACTGAAAGAAAGTCCATTAGAAATCTGAGTCAGGAAGAACGATGCAAGACTCAAATGACATGAAAGCAACACATGCTGCCTCTTGAATTATCCCTGCCTCTAACCTGATGCAAATACAGTCACTCTTCGGGCAAACGTTTGTCTCTATCTGTATGGGAGTCTTCACTGGCCTCATGTAATTATTACCAACTTCTCTGTCCACTCTCAGAAACGTCCCGGCTTGGACACTCAATCAATCAATCATAAACGACATGATTATACTATACTACAAAGTGGTAAAGAGCTTCTTAGCTGATGAGAAGCTTAGCATGTGAGAGAACAGTATAATGGAATCAACCGACAAGAAAATATCATCTTATTCTAGGTGGTAGAAATCGCTGCACCATCCTGCAAGACCCATATATTTACAGGGGACGTTCTCTATTTCCCCATTAGTAATTCCTCTTGGAATGGCAAAAGGGAAGGTTTTTCCTGGTGTCGACTCCAAATCCCAACCCCAGGAGAGAAAGCCCCTTTTCCGCTGATTCTGAACTCAGTAGGGATAAGATAATGCTCTTATTTAAGCATCAGAAACATCGTTCCCTTGCATGAAAACTCCTCTCTGGGTTCAACCTGCTCTGTGGAGTGAGCCCTCCTGACTCCCAGCCTTTCCTTGGAGGATGATGTTTCTATGACACAGTGTGATTCTTACCCAAGAGTAAGTACGAATCAGTGTTCCAACACAGTGAACCGTTACAACCCCCGAGACCTCGGCCATCCACCCACCCACAGCCTGAATAACCTGCTCTGAGCAGCCAGACTCACAGACCCAATAGCAGCAAGTGACATCAGTCCCCTGAAGGAAGCTGTGATCTCAAGTGAGATGTCGGTGGGTTAGTGTCTCCCATCATTCTCTACAAGACATGGGAACAAAGCAAAAAAACACAGAGAACTGCATGTTCCATCCCTGGGAAAGGACGCACAACCACCCTCACGCAAGGAGACTCAAGCCGGATCAAAAAGCAAGGCACCCAAAGCATCCTGGCTTCCTCTGTGCCATTTCCTCCCTCACTTTGAGCCCCAGTTCCCAGCCCTGTCCCAGGAAAGGACCCACACCCCGACCCCGCTCTGACCCGCAACTCCATGGACACCCATCCCACCCTACCCTACGGCAGTCCCGAGTCGCCCCCAAAGGCGCTTGCAGCTTCCTTCACCAAAACTTCACTGTAAGCTCAGCCCCGCGCACTCTCCCCACCAGCGATCCCAGCACGGAACTCCCGAGTGCCGAGGACCCGCGGAGCTGCATGCTCCCTGAGGCACCGAAGGGCAGCCGGAGGAAAACCCCCGCTCGAGCCTGCTCCCAGCTCGGAGCCTGGCTCTGCTCCCCAGCAGCGCGAAAGCCTTCCCCGCTGGCAGGTGAGAACCCTGCAACCTCGAGAGGGATACCGCCCTGAGCGCCGCAGCAAGGGGCGCAACACGCACACCCTAAGCGCCAAAGGGCGCGGGGGCTTTCCCACGCCAGGACAATTCCCACGGAAGTTACAGGGGACTGACAGGGCATGAAGAGGAAGGACAGAGCGCGTGCAAAGGAGATTCTGAGAAGGTTAGAGCCAACTACAGATCTCTGAGGTCTACGCATCCCCCAACAGGTAGCAGCGCCAGGGCCAGGGCCGGACCCGTGGCGCTGCCGGGAAGTGCGGCGCAGCCCCCTCAGGCAGTGGACACGGGGCACAAGACAGACGGGTCCCCGGCAAGAACCCGGGGCTTACCTTGAATTAATGCAGAGTCCCGCGCTCAGCTGAATGAAGAGGGTGTGCTAGTATTTCCGAGACATCATTGAATTATTTTAAAAGAGCAACGGGGTGGAGGAGGGAGGGCGAAGACGGGGGCGGAGAGATGGTGAAATTGCAGGGGGAAGGAAGAATCCACAGAAGGGACGGGGAAGGAAGGCAGGCGGAGGTGAGGGACAGAAACGGAGAACAAAATAAATAAAATAGAAGAGAGACAATTAAAAAAAAATCTGTCTCCTGCTCACACCGTGGAAAAGAAATTTCTGGCAATCAGAAAGAGAACTCGCATACATGCCCCCAACGGAGACGGCAGACCAGGGGACTAACAAAGGAGGAGGGGAGAAGAGAGCTGTATCCAAACAGCAGAAGAGATCGCTGTCCAGACACGGGCAGCACGAGAGAGGCGGTGAGGGAGCGGTGGGAGGGTGGGAGCGGGACGCCAGCGTGAGCGCGCACAACCGGGACTAGGGGTGGTGGGGAGGGCGCCGCCAGGCTTCATTTAGGCGGGGATTTGTGTTGTAAACCGCCTGAGATCAAGAAATTTAGGTCAGGGTTTCTGCGGAAAAGTTCAATAATCTCAAACTTCTGCGGGTGATTTCCACTGGAAAATACAATTCTCGTTTGTGGGCGGGATGACCCCCTCCTGGGGTCCCACTCGTGGACCTTACCAGGGTCCTGGCTGCTTGCTTTGCTGGGCAGGGAGAGGGAAAACATGATTACATCTGCAAAGAAGCAAGGGGGCCCTCCCTGCCTGTAATCCCAGCACTGTGGGAGGCTGAGGTGGGCAGATCGTTAGGTCTAGAGATCGAGACCGTCCTGGCCAACATGGCTAAACCCCCTCTCTACTAAAAATACAAAAATTCGCTGGGCGTGGTGGCGCACATCTGTAGTCCCAGCTACTCCGGAGGCTGAGGCAGGAGAATCGCTTGAACCCGGGAGGTGGAGGCTGCAGTGAACCGAGATCGCGCCACTGCACTCCTGCCTGGCTACAGAGCGACAGAGAAAAAAAAAACAAACAAAAAGAAGCAAGTGAACTGGGGGCTTCAAGGATCAAGTTAAGGGGAAAGGAGGGGCGTGCTGGATGAGCCAGAGCCAGAGCCAGATGCTTCCCAAGGAAAGGAGGCTGAGGGCTCTCCGGAGACACTGTCTCCTGGGGGCAGTTAAGGAGCACAAATAAAAGCCCCAAAACTAAGTCAAACTGGAGTTTCTAAGGCTTCCTAGACTGGAATCCCTCTAGGGTATCCTCTCCCCTATATGGCTTTCTGCATATCTTTTCCTCAGAAATAATAGAAAAGTCTCCCAGAACCCTATAGGTGATGACGTTCCATCCCACCCACCCATCTTTACACGTCCCAATGGAGTCCCTGGGGGGCTCTGACAGGTGGCTTTATAAACAACTGCCTTCTCTCCCCCAGGAGCTGAGTCAGAGAAGAGAGGGGCTCCAGAAAAAGAAGAGGAGCCAGTGGGATTGGAAGGGACAAGAAGAAAAGGGAGCCTCAGGGAAGGAGGAGGGAGAGAAAGAGGAGTGTTCTTTCCCTCTCCACTCTTTTTTTTTTTTGAGACAGAGTGTCACTCTGTTGCCAGGCTCCAGGCTGGAGTGCAGTGGCACAATCTTGGCTCACCGCAACCTCCACCTCCCGGGTTCAAGCAATTCTCCTGCCTCAGTCTCCCGAATAGCTGGGAGTACAGGCGCACACCACCATACCCAGCTAATTTTTGTATTTTTAGTGCAGACGGGGTTTCACCATGTTGGCCAGGATGGTCTCCATCTCTTGACCTTGTGATCTGCCCGCCTCAGCCTCCCACAGTGCTGGGATAACAGGTGTGAGCCACTGTGCCCGGCCTTCCCTCTCTGCTCTTACTGCTTAAGCTTAGCCTTGGCCCAGATAGGTCAAGTCGTCAGAAGGCCTTGCTTGAGGGTGGCCAGTGCTGAATGATGACAGCTGGCCCTCCTACTTGGCCGTGAGCTTCCCTGGCTGAGGGCAGAGCCTGGCACACAGTGAAAACGTGCACTGAAGGGAACTAAGTAGCCATGATGCCAACAGCTCCTCTCACCTTTCCTCTTTGCGGGGGCAGGAAATGGGGCAGCTATGCACCCTGCTTGGTGAGTTCCCCAAGCAGAAGGTCTGTTTGAGAGATTCATGCTGTGATGAGCCAAGACGTCGGCCCCCAGACCAGGTAGGTCCCGAAAATTCTCACCAAGCCTGAAAAGAATTGAGTCTATCAATCAGACTTTCAGAAAGCTCAGCTTTAGCTTGACGTTAAAAAAGAAAAAAAAAAGTTCCAGCAGGGCATTAGGAAAAAAATCAGGGCTACATGTCAGTTTTCCAGAGGCTGACAGATTGTTAGAACAGCCTTGGAGATCTGGTTTCCCATATCAAAAGATTGTTTGTTTGGTTTTTCTGTTCAAACATAAGGATGCAAGTGGGGGCCTCTCTTGAGCCCTTAAGAAGAAGCCTGCAGATTTCCTGGCCCTAGGATTCGAACTCCCAGGTCAGAAGCACAATATGGTGAAGGAGAGGAAGAGATTTTTCCCACTTTAGGAAATCCCCTCTGAACCTGTTGGAGCTCAGAGGGAAGGAGAATGACTCATGAACCCCAAAATATACTACTCATGCCCCCACTGCCATCCCAACATACACATACATGGTGCTGTCTCAAGCTTCCCAGAGCTTCGCCCCACATCCCATAGCAGGAGCATTCACACTGCAATGTGTGGGTTTCTTTTTTTTTTAATGAAAAAGTTTAAAGAGCTAGGATACCAGACGGCGATGAGTTTCCTGGCTTAGAATCTCCTAAAGAGCACAGCATCCATACCCGCCCCACTTCACCATCAAAACAAACAGCAATTGTGCCCACAAGACTGTCCTTGACAACCCATTCATACAATTGGGAGCATGGGATGCTCACCAACTGGATGAATCCACAACCCATTCCCTTTACCTATCTGTGCAGGTGGCTCAACGCCAGATGCCCAAGTATGACCCCATGGACATACCTGCCATTTTATTTCTTCCTTCTCTGGCTACAAGTAACAACTAATTAGAACAACATGATGTCCTTTCGGACACAACAAAAATATTGGTTTTGGTTCTTGACCCATTTGAATGAGTTGTGGCTGTTGCTCTAGACAGAGGAGGTAGGGGAAGTAGGCTGGGATGCAGGAATTATTCTCAGCAGCACACTGGCCTGTCTCCCTCCATCCCTCGCCTGTGCTGATGCACCTCCGCCCATTCCCAGACCTCTATCCATCTGGCAAGGGAAAGAGCCCAGCACTCGAGACATACTCCCTGTCCTCTCAATTTTCAGCCAGACTCACAAGAAAGCACCCTGGCCCAGACCTGCATCCCACATGGCGCCCCCTAAGGGGACTTCATACTGGGACCAGGGCTTCAAAGAAAAGACCCTGGTTTAATAATTCAGCTTGCTTGAATGCCATTTAGTAGCCATGGCAACCAGTTCCCTGACATCTAGTTGTAGGCAGGATGTGGTTGGAAAGAGAAAGAGAAAGAAAGAGGAAAAGGTAGAGGGCAAAGGAAAAGAAAGAAACCCAGCTGAGATGTCATCTAAACTTCCCTGCTTTCACTCCACACCATAATCCTCACAATGAGATGCCGGTGAATCTCAGCCAACTGTGCTTTTACCTGACTTTTTTCCCTCCCTCTCTGACTTCGCTCTCCCCCCACCTGTCTCCTCTGTCTCCTCTCTCTCCAACCCACTGGAAGCCGGAGATCTGGGTTCCTCAGTCAGCATTCCAACTAAACACCTTTGGGACTCTGGCGAGTTATTTAGCCTTTCTTTGCTTCAATTTTCTTATCCTTAATATGAGGGGCTTGTGATTATCTACTCTGGTTCTTTCTGGCCCTAACAATGCATGATTCTGGGGTCCTCTCTCTGTCTCTAACAGTGCATGATTCTGTGGTCCTCTCTGTCTTGCCATCTCCCGACCATTCAGCTTTTCCTCTCTGCCCAGCTTTCTCTGTCTCTCCCTCTCTCTGTGTGCTTGTTTGCTTCCTGAATTTCTCCAACTCTCTCTCCCTCAACCCCTCATTTTTTCTCTCTTATAAAAACAATTTGCCATGAGGTTTCACCTGTGAAGCAGTTATGTTTCTAAGAAATACCTCATTCCCCCTTGCTGGAAAACATCCCATCACCTCCCTTTACTCAGATCATTCCCCTTCATCCTTTAGGTTACCTATCAGACATCAACTCTTCTATGAAACCTCCGTGCTCCCCAAAACAGGGCTAGTGCCCCTCTTAGAAGCTCCCATAGTGTCCTGGGTTAGCCCCTATTGCACCTTATCTCACTATATAGTATTATATCGTATGAGCTCACTAAGGGCTAAAAGAGTGGCTTCTTCATTGCCATATCTCCAGGATCTACCATTTGGAAGGCACTTAAGAAGTAGTCATTGAATGAAAGAAGCCACAGGTTTCTGAATCACTGTGTGTTAAAGACTCAAAAGATGCCCTGGAAGGAGCACAGGGTAGGAAGCCCGGGTGGGAGCTTCTCCTGTACAACAGCAGATGGAATGAAGGAGGCCTCCTCCTGCCCGGACTGCTTTGATGAGGTGGCAGGCCAAGAGCAAGGGCATCTTTCAGGCATCCTGGGTGGACAACCCAGCTCCTTAAAGAAAAGAGGATGGGCAGCAGCAGGAATGGGAAAAGAATCAATGCCAGGGCAAACTCAAAAGGTAACTCTACACATCCAGTACTTGGAGTTCCCTTCACGGTGTCAGAAGCAACTGCCTGATGTCAAATATCTCCCAGCCTTTTAGCCTGGCCCTACAAGCAACTGCCTGACGTCAAATGTCTCCCAGCCTTTTAGCCTTTCTTCCTGGGAGCAGACGGAGGCTGGGGTGGTGCTACCAGAGGAACAAGGGCCCTGTGGGCAGTGTTTCAAGCCCCTGCTGGGACATGCCAATGTGGATTTCTGTCATCCAGGAAGCAGCTTGCTTTAAAAACAGAAAAGAAAATATTCTTTTGGCCACCATCTTTTGATGGACAAATAAGACCTCTATATTTTAAAGACCCTTAGCTATAAATGTGAATGAAAGGCAAGAATTCAAAAGGCAGAGTTTCTTCCCAATGCTTCCTAATGAATTCTCTTTCATTCATACATTACACAAAGTGGGAGGGACAGAGCTGGTAAACACACATGCACACAACTCCTTATACCTGTGTGTACAGAGCTACCATTAAGTTGAGACAGCCTCAAACACGAGGCCAGGTTTTGCATGGTGTGTGCCCCCTGCACCCACCATTCATCACTCAGAAACCTAGGAATGCCTGTCTGAAGCCCCAGTCTTCATACAGCTACCCTCCCCCCCACAAATAATTCTTAATCCAGATGGAGCCGCCCTACACTCAAATATCTGCCAAGTGACACACAGTCTCCCT